GAAATCTTTTTTAGGTGAACTTTATATGGAGTTTTTTTGTATATTATTTGGTAACTGTTTTCAATTCTAGCTTTTCGACTATATCGCAAAGTGCTTAATAGACTTCTTGGTTGAAAATCACTTGGAAAATGAAAATTTGCCTCTTGGGTTTACGTTCTCGTATCCATGCAAACAGACAAGTCTGCGAAGTGCACGTCTGCTGAGGTTTGTACTCAGCTTTTTTCCTGTTGACATCTTATTGGACAAGCGGTACTAATCCTACCTGACTTATTCATTTCCGCTTATAATCAGGGCAAATTTCAGGTGGACAAAAGGTTTTGAAACGGCCGGTGTTGTTAATGAAGACGTCGTGCAGCTTTTGGAGGAGGCAATTAGACGGGACGGTGTAAGTTACTTGCAATCTTTTTCTACCTCTTCAAATCTGAAAGGTTAATAAAATTTGAACTGTTCTCGGAAGTCATTGAATTCTGTTATTTTTTTCTTACAGAGAGCTAAGGTAGATGTTGTGGCACTTATAAATGATACTGTTGGCACTATGGTAGCAGCTGCATACGAAAACAAGACGAGCAAAACATGTCACATCGGAGCTATTATTGGTCTTTTTTTTACAGTTACACAGTTAATTTATAGAATTTCTTGCTGGATCGTGCGATTGTGTCAAAGGCTAGTTTTGTTTTTTTAGAGCTTTAGGCTAAATTACTTATTTTTCAGCTACTGGTACCAACGCATCTTACATGGAGAAGTCATCAAAAGTGAAATTTGGGTTGGCACAAGCTACAGAACCTTATCCTTACGAAGGAATGATAGTGGACACAGAGTGGGGTGGTTTTGGTGATGGGGGTGAGGCTGTTGCTCTGAAAATATCAACTAAATATGATGATCATGTTGATCGCGTTTCCGAACATCCAGGTGTCAATACGTGAGTGTCTCGGTTAATTAGCTCTAGACAAGGTTCGAAATAAGATTGATATATTTCCTAGACAGGCTGTTTGTTCTTTAAGGTTTGATAAGCTTGTTGCTGGCAAGTGTATGGGCGAGGTTGTACGTTTGGTGTTGGAACGGCTGGTTCTTGCAGGAGTACTTTTTGAAGGAATATTAGATGACGGTATTCCGCTGGAGGAACGACCAGAGCCCTTCTTCTTACCTGGCTCTTTCCCCACAAAATATATATCTGAAATTTTAGGGTACATTTCATTGCTTCGCTTACAGTTTACTGTTTCATCTTTAACGCTTTTTGTTAACATAGTGAATAGTCTACATTCTACATTGCTACGATGTTTGACTCTTTCACATTTTTGAATTTGTTGTTTACGTATTATTTCTTATGCTCGTTTTTTTTTACTTAATGACTTTTTAGAGATGAAAGTTGGTCTTCGGAAGATACAAGATTAGTTCTTGATGAACTGGCTATTGACCGTGAATTTATGGGATCTACTGATATTCTTTTAGTACAAGAAGTTTGTAGGGTTGTTTGCACTCGTTCAGCAAAATTGGCTGCTGCAGGTAATTTCTTGTCTCTGTTTGTTCTTTTAAATGGTTTATTTTTTGTGTTAATAACTAGTAATTTTGGGATCATTTCATTTGCAGCGATCGCATGCTTGTGCAAACGCATAAATGAACCTGATATATATGTTGGTATCGATGGTTCAACGTACAAGTTACTGCCTTTCTTTGAACATTTTGTAGTGGAGAACTTGAAGAAGCTCGTTGATCCCTCGCAGAAGAAGGTATGCATCATTTGAAAGGTTGTTTTTTAGCAAATTCTGCTTAAGCAAGAATGTGACTTGGAGTAAACTTCCGTATTCTTTGTTTCAGGTACATGTTATTCAAACCAAAGACGGAAGTGGCAAAGGAGCGGCGCTGATTGCAGCTATTGTTTCACGGTTAAAGAAGAACGCCCTCTCGTTGGAAAGAGGAAAGACCATGTTGAAAGCTGCTTCGACCACGGAAGATGATAAAAAACCTGGCAAGAAAGATAAAAAACCTTCTAATTTTACAGCCAAAAGACATGACATTTTCAGTCCTGGGGATGATAATTTGCGGTTCTTGGTTGATCCTGGTAACATAAAACTGCAAAAACCCGGAAAGGAGATTCCCGCAGTAACAGTGCAGGATGGTGAGGACGACGCAGTGGAGGCATATGATTTAGCTGCCTTAGTTGATAATTCTCCTCCACCAGAAGTAACTAAGTTGATGCATCAGAAGGAATACAGTGTAGAAGAAAACGACGCTAGTAAACCGGCAGAAACAATGCCATCTAGTTGATCCTGTTTGTAGCCTATATGTATTTTTGTCTTTCTTAACTTATGTGTTTTGTTTCTGTCCCAATTGTTTTGACTAGGTAGACTGATTATGGATGATTTTCCTCGCTTTTTGTTACTTTTTTTTATTTTATAAGTAAAAACTATTCTTCCAAGAACTACAGTGCCGTGATTGTGAATTGTGGTGCTAAGATGACTGCAAAAGAATGTTATTTATGACTGCTGAATTTGATATGGTGTCAATTTATCTATTGTTTCTTGGATAAGGGAGGGGGAAAGAGGCATCAGGTGGATCAAGATTGGATTTATGTATTTTGCTCACAGCTGAACCACCACTTGACACATGTGGACTTAGGAGGTTTTCAGTAACTTGCTACTTATTTTGAACTTCTGTAGACGTTAAACGATATGCTGTTCACTAATGTAGGTCTTCGTTGTTAGAACTTATCGCTTTACGTATAGCACAGTGACTTGGTCTTCCTCAAATGATTTGTATATCGCATGATTTGTATGACGTTTAATCTTTTTTAAGCTGGTTACTGTCTTATTACTTTTTCTTTTCTGTTCATTATTCTCTCAATATATGTTAACGGGTGAAATTAAGAGCATTTATATGTCTTATTTCATGTTTGAATTTTTGAACTTCAACACATTTATTGCTTCAGAAAAGCGGAAAAAGAGAAACGGTTAGAAAAAGAAATTGGAGAATAAAGAATGAGAGGTTTTTACAAGCTAAATGGCAAAAAATTTAATGTTTTTTGATGGCAACTTTCCTTCATCAAAGCTCATTTATTTTGGACCAATACAAGAACCGTGAAGTGATGAAGATCGAAAACGAAAAATTAAGCAGAACACAGAGTTGGATGGTTTTGAATGTTGCTTTTACAGCTTTTGTTTTTTTTTATATGAAATGTTATGGTTGCAATTTTTTAAATTATGCATCTTTATGTGTATTTTGAGGTCTGGGTAAGTCAAGGGTTTGAATGCTGACTTTTTCTCGTAGACTATTAAACTTGCTGATTGAAGTAAAAATTTAGTGTTTTTTTTTATTTTTTGTACAGATTCCGGTTCTAGCCAGTTGCTATTGCAAATGTTCAACATTGCTTTTAGTTCTATGCATTTGATTGGCGTGTTCTTTAATCGGTTTTTCTTTTTTTGTTTTTTTTTCGTTTTCGTATCGGTTTCGTTTCAGAAGCAATCTCCAAGTGCTCAAAAATTTCCGTTCTGATTTTGCAGCTGTACTTTTGCTTTGTAGAAGATGAGAAAAAATAAGCAAAGATACAAAGGAGAAAAAAAAAACGAAAAATAAGGATGAAAAAGAAAAACTGTAGAAATTTCCAACAGTTTCCTTCCTCTAATTTGTACATAAAAGTATTATTTCTAGGAACATTGTGCTATAGTGGCTTTGTTGACAATTATTTTTTTTAATTTAATTTCAGTATTATCATTTATATTATTATTACTATTATTATTAATATCATTGCTTTGGAATTTGAATAAATATATTGTACTGTAAAGCAGCTTTTGTATTCACCATACTCATTTTGGAATATTCAATAACTGCATTAACATCAAAACTGTTCGAGGCTTTTCTTATATTGCACCAACAGGTTTTGTTCAGGGTTTGATGACCAATTCGCATCTAGATCACCTCTATTAACTAGCTCATAATTGGTACAGGTGATTTATTTTCTAGTTCTCACTTGCTAAGAGAACTAATTGTTAATGGGAAGTCAATTAGAAAATTTCTGCAACAAAATCAGTGCTGATTTCATTAGTCAACTAACGTCTGATGCAATAACTTTTAGCGCGATACCATTTCATTACATTTTGAAAAGTTTGCTGAAGAATTAGTTTGGTCCTGTAGTGTATGATTCTTTTGTTCAATCAGCGATGTCGTCATCACGGTAGGGAGTGCTGGAAATTTTCATTAGTTGCTTCAAATAACAACATTTATCTGGATAATCTGGCGCGCGGCACTTTCTACCTGATCTGTTGAGAGAATTAGCAGTCAAGAGCCAAGTGTTTGAAATACTTTTTTTAAGCACAGCCTTTTTCTTAGACTTTGTTTTTTCAGGTAATCAGACTAGTCAAAAAAAGATACACTGTTAAAAACACTAGTGTTTCTGAAAGAAATTGAAACAGAGAAGAAAAAATGAATAAGACGCAGATAAGAGATAAGTCTGTGTTAACAGATAAGTCTGAACATAATTTTTACAATAAGTTGACTTTTAAAGAGCTATAGAGTTTTAAAGACGGCTTTAGACAAAAGTTAATATTATAGATTCATTTCGTCTGTAGAGGTTTTATGCCTTCAGCTGGATAAATAAATCAATGAATAAAAGCTTCTTTAGGACAACTGCAATAAAGGATAGTCTATTAATGTTACTGTAGGATAAAGCGAAGTTTTTGATGTTTTTTAACTTACTAAGAACTACATATTAATGATTTTGAACCGGACCCGAACTACTTCTGCTTCAGTCTTTTTTGGAGATACAAACCAAAAAAGTTAGCTGCATCGGTATATTTGTGCGACTGTAAATGAGAGGTCTATAATCACATTGCTCATACTTTTCTAAATCTTTTCTAGGTGGTCACTAAACATATGTATATATTTGAAAACGTTAATTTTTTTGCGCAGAAGGATAAATTGTGATCTGCGAAATTATTAGGGAGTTACAGCCTTTAAGAATTTGATTGAACGAATTTATGTGATTGCGTTTGAGAAGCTATTCGTGCCAAAAATTGGCAATTCTTTTGCCGGAAAAATTATTCACAGTAACCTTCAAAAATACTTTACTTGTAAATTTTGTAAATTCTAGAAAAATAGAAAAAAAAAGATAAAAAAGCAGGCATCAACTCGTGAAATTTGATGATAAAATTGCAAGCGTTACAAATTGGGAGTTGTTACATTCACAGATGGAAGGCAGTTGCTCTGCTTAGGTGATGAAATTAAAAAGTTTCATGTTGTACAGTGAAATGGGAGCGGTTTTTGCGAAGTATGGATTCTATAGATCGGCTGCGTAAAAAAAGAGCTAAGAATTATAAATGGTGTCTTTCATTGAATATCTGTATAATTTGGTGAAAATACGGTCTTTTTTCTTATAACAAACGTATAACAATGTTTAATAATAGCAGAAGTGTAAGTTCACCAAGATGTTCAAAATTTTCCACTAGTTAATTTTGCAATACAATGAGGCATTCTTTTTAAATGTTATCAGTTATGAAAGCAAATGTGAAAGAAGCCTAAACTACAAAAATTACGAACAGTTAGTGGCATTTGTGAGCAGTACATACTTTTTTACAAACTTTGGTTAATACTGATAAATGAAACTCAATGAAACTATTTATTTTGCACTGCCCAATGCTTGAATAATCAGAATCTTTCAGTTGACAATACAGATTTCAACAAATTTTTGATTACCATTAATGGCAGCCGATTCCCTCACGAAGTGAAAATTTGTGAAAAAAATTAAACTACAGGTTGATATATTTTAAAGTTACAAAAGTTAATTTAAAATGAAATCGCTTTTCTTGAAGTTGCTGGCTATTTATTCTGGCGCTCACAAAAAAACTTTGTGAAAATTATTTTAAAAATTATTCCAGTCATCTCATCATCTTAGTTTGCATCACTTCTGCTGAATTTTGTAACCTTTTATTGGTATTAGATATTACAAAAGTTATAATTAAGCTTAATCATAAACATTTTTCATAATCTGCTAGTTACCTTATTTAACAACAGATTTTTTATGCCCTAAATTTTGGCTTGTTGTTTTTTAAATTTTTTCAAACTCTTGCTTATTGTTGCTTTATGAAACTAATGGACAAATATATGTACATATATCTGCTTAACAGTGTTGAATTTTTGAGGTTTTAGATATACCTTTTCTAGAGTCTTTTTGCTAAAAAAATAATTCAATTTACTAAACAGCTGAAGGAGAATTGTTTACGAGACCGTTACAGTGCGGTGAATAAGAATTTTTTTTTAATTAGCAGGAAAACATAGCAAAATTTATTCAACCAGTGTTTAGACAATCACAAATATCCTTTAAAAAAGTGTCTGATGCAAAAGTTTTAAATGCTTACAAAATACTGCATAAAAAACACGACTATGAATCAAAGGATTTTATTTTTTGACTTGCTTCTAATAAAGTTTCTCATTTTAATCGATATCTTTCAAATCTTCGATATTAAACAGCTTTTTAAATAGCAGTTAAAAAAGTTTTAGACTAAGAAGTGAAAAAATATTTGTTATAAATTGCTAAAAAGTAGTGACAGACAGAAAAGCCGATTTGTTTAGGCGAAAGTATAGTTGAAAAAAAAAAAAAAAAAAAAAAAAAAA